ATACCGGTGTTATATGTGATCTTACTTCTATAATATAGCAATTTTTCTGACAGGCCAGTAGTCCTTCCTTATTAACTTTGATTGCCAGGTGTCTGTTAAAGTAAGAGACATGTTTTTACTGTCCTGGTCTTTTTTCTCTGAAGTGATTGATTTCAGTGCTAATGTATAACCAATTTCCCTAACACATGAATATTGTGATGTTATTCTAAATGGAAGTTTCAAGAAGAAATGTGCTTAAAAATAGACCTGGTCCCATAAATACCAAGACATTGGGAATGTTAACGTAAAAACTTAATTTAAAAAACGTATTTTCTTGGTGCACCTAGGTGGCTCGGTTGGTTGAGCATCCAACTTCAGCTCAAGTCGTGATCTTGTGGCTCATGGGTTCGAGTCCCATGTCAGGCTTGCTGCTAACAGAGCCTGGAACCTATTTCAGATTCTGTGTCTCCCTCTCTCTCTGCTCCTCCCTTGCTCGCATGTGTGCACACTCTCTCTCTCTCTCAAATAACAATAAAACATTTTTAAAAAATGTATTTTCTTGGCGCTCCCAGATTTTTCTTTGGCCCCTCTCTCAAGGCCAGACTTAGAAGCCCATGACAGGGCCAAAGAGGGTGACCAGTACGAGCCAGCATAAGACCCTGACCCAAGGGGCCTGGGCAGTGAGGGGAGACCAAGAACATGGTGCTGGGCACCCACAGCCCTTGTCCTCGTGGGGCTCCACCACATTCGTGGTTCGTGGGCTTTCTGTTAGAGCTGGCGTCTTCAGAGACAGGACATGGCTCAGGGGCCAGAGCCCTGCGGCCAGGGTTTGGATCAGGAAGGGCACCAGCCAGGGCTGCTGACCACGGGCCAGACGTCTTCCTCCTCAGGGAAGCCACAGTCACCTACCGTCAGCCATGTCCGCACACACCTCCCGAGCAAGGTCCAGATTCGGGTTGGATTGAGTGATGGGGCCTGTGTTCGTGGAGTGAGTGGAGCCATATCAGGATGACACATGAGTTTTCACCTTAGGGCTAACATCAGCCTGTGCAGATCAAGACATGGAGTCCTCCCTTGGGGAGGCCACCCTGCCTGCCTGTGAGCTTCTGCAGGTGGTGAGGAGGGAGCTGGGGAAGGAGCTACAGGCCCCGGTTGTGAGCAGAATGGTGTCTGACTTGCTGTGTGTCTCTGCTGTTGGCTGCAGCACCTGAGGTGGAGACCATGGCTGGACATCTCCAGCTGCTGTTGTGATAGAGCCTGTGGCCAGAAGGTGGCAGTGTAGTCACGGGACCCAGAGGAACTTCCCGGAGATCTCTGCAATCCTGTGCAGTGTAGGCGGCCCAGCCAGCGGCCCGGCCGGCCCAAGGTGTCTCCAGGGGCTTCGGGAGCCCGGACGACACAGGTGGGCAGCGTCCACCTTGGGGGAAAGCAGTGGAAAAACTGCTGTGTTTGCCTAGCTTCCAGCTTGGGGACAAGCTGCGAGGAGGGTACAGAGTCCCCGTGTCTCAGACACCGATTCCCCTGACGAAGTGATGCTCACACACTGTCGCTCTCCCAAGTCTGCGTTTTGTCCACATTCCCTCATGCCTGCTGTCCCCAACTGCGTGTGGTATCCCATGGGATGTGTCTGTGTGGAGGTTGGCACGTTGTCTTATGTTGTCTCATGATCTTGGGTTGACAGGTTTCAGGAGGACTTAAGAGCAAGGCCCATGCATAGTGTTTTACAGAGTTTTGGGTACTTACTTTCATCTTTGCCAACTGGTCACCTTCTCTGACTGCCTATTTAAGAGGCCCTGGTCACCTGCTCACTCACCAAATGGAGATCTTACCCAGTGCCTGCCCTCAGTGCCCCCTTGGCTGTCCTGCTTCCACACTGGGACATGTGCTCTGGACCAGACCTTAATGACCGCATCTCCAGCACCCAGGACGGGCCCGGGTGTCTAACAGTACACACATCTGTGTGACAGTAATGTCCCTGTGCAGGATCGCTCATTTAAGACTCTGGCTCCAGGTGGTAGTCTTGATCCCAGGGCGCAGGGACCACAGTGACCACAGACAGACCCTCACCCGTGTGGTCTCTAGGCCACGGGAACCATGCTACCACATATACCCTCCCTGTGTGGTCACTAGGACACAGGTACTCCCTGACCCCAGTGGACCCCCTGGAAGCTGTGTGGCTCTGACCCACTTGATCCCCTCCAAGGACCCATGGGTCCGAGCTGTGTGCTCTATAGTTATTCATGTTTGCAGAGTATGGTGTTGTGGTTGTAGTTAGTGGAGACTGCTCTTTCCCTCGTTTCCACTCTGTCCTGTGCTTCCTGCGTAAGCAGGGGCGGGAGCATCCTCTGATGTTCTCTGGGCCCATCCCTCAGCCATCGTTGAGGTGTTGGGGTCCCAGGGACAAGGAGAATGACCTCTGGAGGCTCCGCTCTGCTCCCAGGTGCAGCTGCTGGGCCTTGCTCTGGGCACACAGTGAGGCCAGGTGTGCGTCCACAGCTGCCCCTCCCAGCCCAGTCGTCGTTCCTAGAAAGTGAAATCATCCGTACATTCCCTTGTACTTTGAACGATTTGTGCTGATTCTGTTTAACTGAGATAATTAATGACTTCAGAGACAGAAACTATTTTGTACTGAAATTGATTTTTCTTCGGAGATATTTCAGAGCATTGAAGTCACTGAGTCAGTGACTCAGGTCTCAGTACAGAGCACGGGGGTGCTAAGCTCTGTGTGGATCTGCTGACCCCATAGCTCTTCATGAAAAATAGCCCTGACTTAGTATATTCCAGGAAGAAAAATTCTCTGTTTTGGCTTTCTGGTTAAGTAAAAACCCCTTTTGTTACACATTCAGAAGAGGTCGGCAAGCCCTCTAGAATACAGCTGCAGGTGTGTGAGCAGCGGTGGAGGCACACAGTGTTGGGCCCCGTGGGCTGCAGTCTTGGACACGCCGGCTGGAGAGGCCCAGCTGGAGAGTGCAGGGGCGGCACGGGACTGCCGGTGTGCAGGTGGAGTGATGTTGGGACAGGTGACGAGGAAAGGTGGTTGCTGCTGGTGTGGCCAAGGGGGGGTCACATCGGTGTGATGTGGGACGGGAGCCCCAGGGGACCGGGGAGTGGACACCGAGGAAGAAATTTGCCATAGAACTGCACTCACTGTGTTCTCACTGATAACTCTGTGACATCACGTGTGTCAGCTGGCTTTCTTTTAGTCCAATAACAGCTGTAGACCAGGTTTTCTGTTTTGGCCTCCATTCTTCCAGCCGGGCTCTGATGCTGCTTTTTTGTGGCCCACTTCAGAAAAGTGCTTTTCGTTATGTAACATTGTAGGTGGTGACATCTTTGATCACGTTAAGGCCAAACAGCACTGAATTGCGGCCTATGGAAAGTTCCTTGCTAATTAAAAGCCCTGAGGAAGTTGGAGGAGGATGGGGCTTTGGAGATTTTAGAACACAGGTTGTGAAAGCAATTTCATTGGTTGCAGTCAGCATTTATTTTATTAAAAATGTTTATTTCTTTTGAGACACAGAGAGAGAAAGAGAGAGAGAGAGAGAGAGAGAGAATCCAAGGTAGGCTCTACACTGTCAGCACAGAGCCTGACATGGGGCTCAAACTCACAAACCACAAGATCATGACCTGAACTGAAATCAAGAGTTGGATGTTCAACTGACTGAGCCACCCAGGTGCCCCGGCTTTTTTTTTTTTTAAAGAATGGAGTAGAAAACCTGATGTGTGTGCATGGTTTTGTCTGGGAGGACATTTGGACCTCCTGGATGAGGGTGTGGTGTTCTCCATGGACCCACTACTCATGGGACACACACACGGTATGCACACACCTGCACAGGGCCTCCTCCAGCAGAGGCCAGCCAAGACCCAGGGTCTTGCCTCCACGCAGCCCCCGCTCTGCCCATGCATTCCTGAGTGCTCTCTGTGTGGCCTGGGCCCCTTTCCTCTGCAGGACCCTGAGAAACCTGTGTCTTGTCCTCGCCCAGCCTGCACTTGTCCTGGATGAGGCCGTGCTTCCTTTGCTCCTCAGGGAGGATGACTGTGTAAGAGTTATGTGGAGAAACTCAAGTAGCAGGGGAGTCTGTGTATGTGTGGAGCTCGCCCCAGACCAGCATCCTTCTTCCTTTCCTGACTGTGCGTTCATCCGGCTGCTATGATGACTGCTCACCACCTCTGGGGTGGCCCTTCTGCGCCTCCTGTCCCACAGAAGCCAGAGATGCTGGCATCCAAACAGCTGACTCTCGTCCTGTGCACTTTCTGCTCTGCAGCTCCCTAATATAAACGTGGCTATGCCACGTACCTGGATGCTTTGCATGATGGAGAAGGGCAGACCACAGACCCTGACCGATGCCCCAGGGCTGCAGATGGAGGTTGGTTGCACCCCATAGGAGGGCCTGTCTGCCCTTCCGCTCCTCAGGAGTTCACCGGGCGCAGGTGTTGGGGGACGGGAGACACCCCTGAGCAGTGCCGGGCCACATGTAGCGCTCTGACTCACCCCCAGCTCGGCACGGCTGCACACTCAGCTTTGCTTGGCCCAAGCTGCTGGCCATTTCCTGTGCTCTGGAGAACCACAGCGTTGTGTGGGGTAAGACTCGGTGCTGCAGTTTCCAGCAGGGGATTTCCTGGGCGTTTCACCAGGGGTCAGCACATGGTACATCTGATACTCCAAACGTATGGTCTTTTCCCCCAGAGAAGGATAACGACCACTCGTGGGCCTTTCTTCAGATGTTAGCCACAGAACCAGACCTTGACTCTCCAGTCAGAGCAAGGCTAAGGGAGCAGCGTGGACCTGGGGTGGGAGTGAGGCTCGGGCAGCCCCCACCCAGCCCAGCGTAGCAGAGCTCAGGGACAGGGCCCTGCCACACCCACCTCCCCAGCAGGCACAGAGGCTGTGGACCAGTGCGTGTGTGAGAGAGCCCTGATGGCCCTCGAGCCCTCAACATCAGTCCGTGTAAAGTTCTGAATGTTCTTGGGTCATTCGCACCTCCAGGAAGATGTCACGGCTGTTTGACTTTCCTTTCCAGCGTCTGGGCTGATGGACCGGGCCGTGCACCACGAGCCCTGCCCAGGCAGCCAGGACGGCCAGCCACTCCAGCTGCAGACGACCCAGCCGTTCATTTCCGAGGGGGACGCCCAGGAACTGAGACAGGTAATGTGCGCTCCTGGTGCCGTGGCGCCTGCAGACATCTCCCTGCTGGTGTACATGGGCCACCGTGCATCTTGCTCTCTGCAGATGCAGAGAGCAGAGAAAGAGCGGTGCTTGTTCTGGGTCCTTGCACTTGGTGACGTGCAGACACGCCAGTGGGCCTGTACACACACGGTCTGCCTGTGGCCGCTCCTGCCTGTTGTACATGTGCAGATATGTGCATACATGTGTACTGGTTTGTGTGCACTGTGTGTGTGTGCTCTGCGTGTGTCTGTATATGTGCATGTGCTTTGCGTGTGTCTGTGTGTGCCTGTACTGCGTGTGTGGTGTGTATGCATGTGTCTGTGTATGTCTGTGTGTGGGCTGTGTGTGCATATGCTGTGTGTGTGTCTGTCCATGTGTGTACTCTGTGTGAATGTGCTGTGTGTCTGTAGGCCCATGTGTGTCTGTGTGTGCATGTGCTGTGTGTGTATGTGTATGTCCACATGTGTGTGCATGTGTCTATGTCCATGTGTGGGCTGTATGTGTGCATGTGCTGTGCATACGTCTGTGTGCGTGTGCTGTGTGTATCTATGTATGTCCACGTGTGTGTGCATGTGCTATCCATGCATCTGTGTGTATGGTGTGTGTGCATGTGTCTGTGTATAGGCTGTGTGTGCATGTGCTGTGTATATGTCTGTGTATGTGTGTGTGTGCATGTGCTGTGCATGTGTCTGTATGTCCGTGTGTGTGCTCTGTGTGAGAGTGCTGTGTATGTGTCTATGTCCATGTGTGTCTGTGTGTGCATGTGCTTTGTGTGTGTATGTGTATACCTACATGTGTGTGTGTGCTACGCGTGTGTATGTGTATGTCTGTGTGTATTCTGTGTGTGCATGTGCTGTGCATGTGTCTGTGTGTATGCTGTGTGGGTGTCTGTGTATGTCTGCGTGTGTTCTGTGTGTGCATGTGCTGTGCATGCGTCTGTGTGTGTGGTTATGTGTGCATGTGTCTGTATGTGTGTGGGCTGTGTGTGTGCATGTACTCTGCGTGTGTCTGTGTATGTCTGTGTGCATGTGCTGTGCGTGTGGTGTGTGTGCATGTGCCGTGCCTATGTGTATATCTGTATGTGTTCTGTGTGTGCATGTGCTGTGCATGTGTATGTGTATGTCTGCATGTGTGTGCATGTACTCTGCGTGTGTCTGTGTGTTCGTGTGCTGTGTGTCTGTGTATGTCCGTGTGTGTTCTGTATGTGCATGTACTGTGCATGCGTCTGTGTGTGTGCTATGTGTACATGTGCTGTGTGTGTCCATGTGTTTGCTGTGTGTGTGTATGTCTGTGTGTCCATGTATGTGTGCATGTACTCTGCATGTGTGTATGTCTGTGTGCATGTGCTGTGTGTGTGGTGTGTGTGCATGTGCTGTGTATGTCTGCATATGTGTGCATGTGCTGTGCCGTGTGTATATGTCCATGTGTGTGCTGTGTGTGCATGTGCTGTGTGTGTGTATGTCTGTGTATGTGTGCATGTACTCTGTGTATCTGTGTATGTCTGGGTGCATGTGCTTTGCGTGTGGTGTGTGTACATTTGCTGTGTATGTGTCTGTGTATGTCTGCATGTGTGTGCATGTCCTGTGCACGTGTATATGTCTGTGTGTGTGTTGTGTGTTCATGTGCTGTGTATGTGTACATCTGCTGTGCATGTATGTGTGTGTGTGCTGTGTGTGCATGTGCTGTGTGCATGTCTGTATGTCCGTGTGTGTGTGTATGTGTGTGTGCAGGTGCCCCACAGGGGTGTGTACAACTGAGCACACTCACCCACATTTCTCTCAAGGGCTTGACACTGGATTCTTGCCTCTTTTTGTCCAGAAGTAGAACTTTAAACAATATTAGATGGAAATATTTTAATTTGTCTTCCTATGTTATTGCTGGACAATAGTGATTTAACTTTTTCCTTTTTAAGTAATTTTGAAGCAAATGCCTAGACATCATGCATGTGCACGTTGTAGACGTGTCAGTGCACGTCTGTAGAACGTAAGAACTGGTAGAAACCCCACACCCTGCCACGCTCACCTGGGTTCACCAGACATCAGTCCTCGTGTTCAGGGAGGTGTGTGTGTGTTTGTGCCGCTCAGGACCCGCACGCGGCGCCACGCAAGACACTCAGCAAAGCGCCTGCGTGTGTACAGCTTCTCTCTGCCCTTCCCGTTCGCTTCATGGTATATTTGTAGAGAAAACTTGGATTCCCTGGTTCATAGCTAGACACTTTGTCAGACTCAGGCTCTGCTTTGGAGAGGCTATTCCGTCAGTGGCACCTCACTCTTCCACCAGGGCACACAGGAAGACCGTTCGTCTTTTAAACCTGTTTTTAAAGAAGTCCTATTGATGCATCTGCAGAGGCACGGTCTCCTTTAAGCTGGGCCATTTCCTCCTTGGAAAAAAGGCATTCATCTTTGCTGTGGGATATTTTAAATATGCATGAGCTGTCACTCTTTCCCCTGGTCTAACTTAGTCACTTTCAGTAATGACACATAGGAACGCTGCTTTCTAGCTGCAACCACAAATTCTGCAGGTTACTGACTACTCCTTGTGACCCGCGTATTGACTGCAGAACACAGCTTCAGGCCTTGAGAAACCCTTATCCTATAACAGACAAGTCCCCGTTCTCCTGAGAGAGGATGAGAGCACACAGGCCTCAGGCTGGGGGGATCGGGGACCCTCTCCCACCCTCCTATGAAGGCATCCCACCGTGTTGTGTTGAGGCCGAGGCAGGAGCGTGACTTTTTGATAGGAAGTGTAGGGATTTCATCTGTTGGTTCTGGTGGCGTCCATGTGGTTTGAAAGGCCCCTTCCAATTTCAAACCAGCAGTCTGTTCCCTAGGTGGTAGAGGTCAGGATGTGAGTAGGATGGGCTCCCATGCCCTCCTTCCCCATGAGACACTGCGTCCCTGGGGTTAGTCCTGACCGTTGTCCACAGGTGACCAAGCCGTGAGTCAGGACGCCAGTTGCAGGGCGGGGAAGCAATGACCCCTGGGTAGTGGGGCTGGGGAGCACTGCAGGAGAGCAGGGCTCTGCACCAGCCAGCTGCCTCCCCCCCTGCAGGGAGGGCCCAGCTCCACAGGACCTCGTCCTCTAGAGGTGAAACACATGTTTCATATTTAGACAAGAATTCTTAGCTGTAGTTGAAGCTCAAGCGAAAGTAGGAATGAGGTAAATTTCTGGGGAAAACAGAAATGCAAGACCCACCCCCCCAACCCCCCTCCCGTTCAGCTGTGGTTTCTGTGGCAGATGCCGTTACAGTTGTTACGTGGAAAGCAGTTCGGATGCTGACAGAGACGACCGGCTGTGGTTTCCCCGGGGCCAGCGTGCTCAGCGCAGTGGGCCAGCTCTCACCGCGGCGGCCACTGTCCACGGGGACTGGAAGAGGCACCGGATTCCCTGGACGGGTTTGGCAGAGCGCCGTGAACCATGTCTCGCGTCTGATGCGCTGGCCTTTCCTGCCTTGGGACTGCGGCCTGTTTGTCAGGACAGCAGTGTCCGCTGCCTGCTGGATGCAGTTCTCCCCTCGCTGGGAGTTTTCTCCATCATGTCTTAACCCCCACTGCCCTGTCTGCTCCTGATCTAGCTTTCCCTGTTGACCGTGGTACAGGGACCGCAGCCTGACGTGTAGCCACAGACGTGGCAAAGGAGGGTTCACCACATGCTCCTGCCCTTCCTATAACGGGGTGCAGGGTGAGGACCTGGGCTGTGAGCTCACGGTCCCCATTCTGGGGGTGGGGGTGAGGACCCGGGCTGTGAGGTCACAGTCCCTGTACTGGAAGTGTGGGGTGATGAGGACCCGGGCTGTGAGCACACGGTCCCCTTTCTGGGGGTACAGGGTGAGGACCCGGGCTGTGAGCTCATGGTCCCCATTCTAGGGGTGCAGGGTGAGGACCCGGGCTGTGAGGTCACAGTCCCCATTCTGAGGGTGTGGGGTGAGGACCCAGGCTGTAAGGTCTCGGTCCCCATTCTGGGGGTGCGGGGTGAGGACCCGGGCTGAGGTCACAGTCCCCATTCTGGGGGTGCAGGGTGAGGACCCGGGCTGTGAGGTCACGGTCCTCATACTGGGGGTGAGGGGTGAGAACCCGGGCTGTGAGGTCACGGTCCCCATACTGGGGGTGAGGGGTGAGGACCTGGGCTCTGAGGTCAGTCCCCATACTGGGGATGCGGGGTGAGGACCCAGACTGTGAGGTCACGGCCCCTGTTCTAGGGGTTTGGGGTGAGGACCCGGGCTGTGAGGTCACGGTCCCCGTACTGGGGGTGCGGGGTGAGGACCTGGGCTGTGAGCTCACAGTCCCCATTCTGAGGGTGTGGGGTGAGGACCCGCACTATGAGGTCATGGTCCCTGTACTGGGAGTGTGGGGTTATGAGAACCCGGGCTGTGAGGTCACAGTCCCCTTACTGGGGGTGAGGGGTGAGGACCTGGGCTGTGAGCTCATGGTCCCCTTTCTGGGGGTGCGGGGTGAGAACCCAGGCTGTGAGGTCTCGGTCCCCTTTCTGGGGGTGCAGGGTGAGGACTCGGGATGTGAGATCCCGGTGAGATCATGGAGGGGCATTGGCGTAGGCAGGCAGGCAGGCACCTTGCTGGACTGGGCTCTGCTCGGGGACGGGAACTGCTGGTGTCCTTGCTGGCCAAGAGGCTGGATTCAGTGCCCTGAGCTGTTTGGAGTGACTGCTGATGTTTGAGCAGTGGGTGCTGAACTCATTTCAGTTTTCTACCCTTCCCCCTGCCCATTCTCTTACTGTCCTGTATCTTCCCCTGAACCCTTCCAAGTCATTTTCATCACTTATGGGAAAAGCAGTGCTGCTTTGTGGGGTATGGGAGGTTACGATGCCACTCGTATTTATGGTTTTGATGCCAGTCCAGATACTACTGGTGAGTTAGGCCCCTCTTTTCAGTATCTGTTACTTTGTAAGTTATTAAAAATGCCCTGACATCATGTCCTGTGTCACTTGTGTGAAACCATAAGAAGAGCCTTGGAAACCTCTGACATCCTTGACCGTTGACATCTCAGTGAGAAGACAGGTGTCCTGGGATGGGCCCTGCACTAGGAACTAGGGTCCTGGCTCTGGCCCGCCTACTGCGGCTTCATGCCCTCCCTCCTATGCTGCCCCCTGAAATCGCTGGCCATGGTGATCGGCCCCAGGGCATCGCCAGGACGCAGCTGGGCTTTGAGGAGGGGCAGCTCCCTTGCAGTCTGGGTGGTTGGGAACGCGTTGTGCCCCTTCCACTGCCCCGGAGACGTGGATGGGGAGGCAGTGCCGCAGACAGATTCTAGAATGTGCCAGCCCCAACTAGAGCAGCTGCTGGGCTGTGTGGAGGGAGGAGTGCTAGAGACAGGAGCTCAGGGAGGGAGGAGCATGGTTGTGGGGGTGGGGGGAAAGGGGAGTAGCATGGGAGAGAGGAGCTTGAGGAAGGAGCTCAGGGGCAGGAGCAGAGGTGAGGGGGCGGAGCGCAGGACAGGGGACTGCAGGAGTGGGTAGGGTCAGGAGCAGGTATTGGGGAACAGGAGCAGGGGCTATAGAGCCTGGGTTGAGGGCAGGAGCAGGAGTGAGGGGGGCAGGAGCTGGCAGGGAGCAGGGTGGAGTGTGGAGTGGGGTGGGGAGGACAGGAGGTGGGGGGAGCAGGGTGGAGCGTGGGGTGGGGTTGGGAGGGCAGGAGCAATTACGAGGGAGGGTAGGAGCTGGGGGGGGGCAGGGTGGAGCGGGGGCTGGGGTGGGGTGGGCAGGGCAGGAGCAGGGGGAGCCAGGCAGGAGTGTATGCTTTCCTCTTGCCTCAGCTCCAAGGGAACCCCCACACCTTAAAGTGCAGACATTTCAGGATGGCGCACCTCAGCACTTTACCCTGTGTGTGCTGTTGTAGTGAACACTCATCATGTAAGTGTGCGGTTGTGTCCAAGTCCCGTACAGTGTCAGCTCCTGGCCGTGGCCCTCCTGTGCTGCTCCTTGAGGTCACCTGCTCTGGGAACCTCCTTCAGGTGCAGTCACCTGTGTGTCCATCCACGCTAGGCTTTCCTCGCTGCACACCGAGCTTTCCGGCCGATGGTCTTAAAGCACCTGCACTTTCCTTTCTGCAGCCAAGTACACGGTGTGTGGATGGCCCACGTGTGTGCATTCACTGTGTCTGTATGTCTGGGCCCCACTGCCACTCCCAGGTCCCAGGGTCACTCCCCCTGTAGTATTTTCCACACACTCCTTCCCACGCTGGTGTGGGGAGCTGTGAGTCCTCCTGCCTCAGTCTCCTTCTCCAGGGTTGCTTTGGCCCTGAAGGGCTCGTTGCAATTCCAGACAGATTGGAGGAGGGATTGGAGATTCCTCCTCCTTCTGGGGAGGAAGAAAGGCTTCTGGAAATTTGACACGGATTGTGGTGAATGTGTAGGTCACTTTGGGATGTACCGCCATCTTGCAGCCCAAGAACACGGACACCCTTCCCTAGTTAGGTCTTGAACATGTCTCCGTGTGGGATGCAGGTCTTGGGCCTTTACCTCTATTTTCTTGCATTCTGGGGTGAGTCCTACTTGGATCCCATGGTGACCTGATGGTGAGCTGGTGCCCGGGGCCCCCCCTAGTCCTGGGCGGCGTTCCGTGTGCCTGCCCTGCCTGGACCCTGAGTTGGACATGCTGGTCGGCCCACTTTGAGGGCTGAGGGATCCCTGAACGCAGCTGCCCATGTCTCACTGTCGGGATAGGATCCTGGTGAGTCCACTTCTCCACCCACTGCACAGGGAGGCAGTCTTGAGGAGGGGCCTCCCTAGAAGAGAACCCTGTGCTGCTGTCCACAGACAGCCCTCAGGGCCTCGAGGAATGCAGCAGAACGGACGAGGTGGGACATGGGGGTGGTCTATGAGTGCTGAATGTGACAGATCGTAGCCTAGAATGTTCTTTACAGCCTCCAGAGCTTTGGCTGTGCTGGAGGCCAGTGTTTCCCTCTTTACCTTCTCTGTAGCATATTAATGGCCCCAACTGGAAGAACTATTTGGACTTGCAGACAGCTTGATTTATCCCAGCTCTGTTCTTAAATGGTTACTAATTTCTCACTGCAAGAAAATTCACAGTTTTTCAGTGAGTCAGCTTAATAACAAGATCAGGGCAGACAGTCTCACTAATACTAAACTCACTTTAGGTGCTCAATATTGATGTAGTGGTACTCTGAATCCTGGGGTTTTATCATGAGGCAGAACAAGGCATTTTCTTCTTCAGACGGTGAGTTAGCACATTGCAGATGTGCACACGTGAAGGTCCATCCTTCTGTGCTCTGTGTCCCTCCCCTGCCACAGTGATGTGGTCGGAGCCGGAGGCTGGACAACCAGGGCCCTGGAGGCTCACAGCGGAGCTGGGCCTCTGCCTCCTCCCTCTGATTCTCACACCTTGACAGCTTGTGGTAAGGGGCTTACATTGAAACACACGTGTTTGTAAGTGGACCTTCCTTGCTGGATGAGCTGTTTTTCCATCATTTATTATAAACAGAATGAGAGTGTCATCTGCACCACTATCTCACAGTCCGTGGTGTCGGGAGGTACAAGCCATCCTGGCATATGGCCAGTACAGAGAGAGCACAGTAACTTCTCTGCCCTGGGGACCACGTGGCGCCACCCGCTGCTGGCCCGAGCCATCCAGGCATCTCTCCTGGTTGTTGAAGCTGCCGAGCGGGCCCAGTGACCTGCCGGAGGGGACCGAGCTTTCCCGGCAGTGCCCGTTCGTGTCTGTCTGTGCCTCGCCTGTGCTGTGTGCACCGTGTGTTTCTCTGTAGTTTACGAAAGTTGCTTCCTCCCAAAACTCAGTGCGCTTTTACTCAGGTCATTTCTGTGTAGGTTCACATGTGTCCAGGAAGATGGCTTGTCACTGGGGCAGGGACCTGAGGACGAGCCGTGGAGCCGGGTTGAAACAGTGCCCAGGGATGGCTCCTCTGAGCGGCCTGCTGATCCTTCAGAGACTGGCAGCATGAGACATTGCTGACGAGACAGCTTGTCATCCTGCGCCACAGCAGTAACAACTGTTCAGGTTTGGCCAGACTTGCTACTCCCCATTCTTTCCACCCTGTGTTCTGTGGAATGCACATGGTGCCGCTTAGTGTCTCCAGCCCCTTTCTTAAAGGGAAAGAACACCACACCAGCATGCGAGGCGCACTCTTAGCCTGACAGTGTCCTCAGTAATTTTATTGGCAGACATGGTGGCTGTAAAGGGCACTCGTATTTCTGCAGTATCAGTTCATTTCAAGCACAGTTTTGGCGGGCCGGCCAGGGTCTCCTCACGGGCTGCACAGAAGGCGTCTCAGAGAGACATTTTCAGAGTCCAGCAAGTCAACAGGAACGTGCCGTGTTTGGACTGTACACTCAACAGAATGCTCCGCGTTTGCGGGCGAGTCAGCCAGTCCTGGATCCTGGCAAGAGGCATGCGCTGGGCCACGAAGGGGCGCGGCTCTGTTGGGAGAGCTGTCACATGGTGGGGTGGTCTTGTGCTCCCTGGCACGATGGCCATGAGCCACATGTGGCCACCGAGCACTGGAAGTGTGGCTTATCCAGCTTGAGGTGTGCTGGGAATACACCATTCGGCAATTGATGAAAGCATGTGTCTCGTTAGCGTTGTTCGCGTTGACCTCATGCTGAAGTGAGAATATCTTGGTTTGATGGGATAAAATAGGGTGCATTGTTGACAGTCATAATACTTACCGTTTTTACTGTTGAAAATGTGCACGTTAGGAAATTTCAAGTCCCAGCTGTGGCTCTCCATAGGCAGGACATCTGCCATAGCTGCTCAGGGCTACAAGAGTCCTAACCCCCTCGCATGGCTGTGTGAGTGCTATGACCTGGGTCATCACACCATGATCCCTGTGGGCTCATCACATCAGGGCTGCACTGACTGGCCCTGAGCTTAGGGTCTTGGGTAAGCTCCTGGGCCTGGTTTGAGACACAGCTAGTTTGAAGGCTCTTAGAGAGCAGTTGGGGTGCATGGCAGGGGACCCACAGTCCTTACCCAGATCTGGGCTGACTGGGATGAGGTCGTGGGTGTGTGCTTCAGCCCCCAGAGTCACACGTCTGTGCGAGCGTGTGGGCACGGGGTGGAAGGAGGCCAGATGCTCAAGCGCCACAGCGTTACTAGCAGTGCTTGTCTGACAGCACCAGCTGGGTTTGGGTTCAGGACAACATACTTCCTTTTCTAGTTCTGTGTCCTGTGTGCTTGCCCAGTGAGATCTGGCCAGTAGCTGCCTTTCTAAAAGCCCATGCCATCAGCACAGGTGCACCTGTGCCTGCTCACAGTGCAGATCCTGCTGGTCCTGGAAGATGCTTGGTGGGGTTGACAGGGACATAGATGGCCCAGCACAGGGGGTCCCCTCGTGGGTGTGGAATAGGGTACACATGGGTAGTACAGGCCAGCCCGCCGGGGACATGGTGTGTGCATACCTCCTGGAGCACCGCGTTGGTGCACTCAAGGTGGAGGCCTGCTGGGAGGGGTGGTTGGTGGGAGAGGGACCTGCCTCACACGGTGCTGAGCGGTAACTGTTTATTGTGCTGTTTGGGCCTCAGCCATGTGAGGTCATAGGAACGCGATGGAAAAGACCTCCTGTATTAGGTCATCCAGCCCGTCCCTCAGAGCCGACTGACCCCACAGTATACTTTCCAGAGCTCCGTCCAGTTTTTCCAGTGACTCAGCGGCTCCCAGAGGGCGCGCAAGGCTGGTGTCTGAGCCTGCTACCTCGGGTCAGGATTTGTTGTTCCGTGCCTGGACGGGGCTCCCGGGGGTGATGCTGGGCTCGCAGAGAGGTGAGGGGCCCAGCCTGCCTCTGTCACAGCGACCTCTGTGCTCCTCACCGCCGGCCCCTCCACGAAGCAGGCTGTTGCGGTGCTCCTGCAGCTGAGCCTCCAGGACTTGGCGGGCGCGCCTCACATGGCGCTTTATAGTTTTGACAGCTTGCTCCCATTTGTGAGCTCATTCCGGCCTCACCGCTCCTGAGGAAGGAGCTGATCTGCTCATCCTCCCGGCCACCTCCCTGCCTCCATTCTCTTCCTCGTGTGGCAGCCAGCAGTGCAGGGTGGCTTCTTGTGATGCCTCCCGAGACGTCACCTGAGGTGTGGCCAGTCCTAGGCTGTGGTGTCACCTGGTGGTGCCAGTGGGGGTGATATCAGTGCGCGGTATGGCGCCCTGTGGGGTCCCTGCTGTGTCCCCTGGGCCAGTCACTGCTGACATTCGTCCCTGCATGACCAAGGACTTAGAAGTCATCTGCGGGCCATGGACCCGCTGGGAGAGGGCAGACAGGCACCCCGTGCTCCTCGACGATTCACATTCTGCAGGCCCTTTGTCCTGACCCGACTTTCCCTGAAACTGGCATTAACATTTATTGCAGGTAGTTGGTCATTAAGATTTCTCTTAAAATCATTCCTTTTTGTTGTCAGCTTGAGGATATTAAAGTTTTAAAGCCAGGCTCAGCACGCACGTAGTTAAAGTACCTTTCACAATGCAAGTAGTCTCAGTAGAATTGCAGTAAAACGCCTGCTCTTACAGCGTGTGAGACTTTGGACGTGTGACTGAGCCACAGAAATGGGGCGAGGGGCCACCATCCAGCCTGTCAGCGTCCCTCCTCCCCTCTCAGCCCGCAGGATTGTGCTCCACGATCTCACCTCCCTTGGGTGCTTTGTATGTGAAATGTTTCAAACACAAAGGAGAAAGTGGTTTGGCTTTTCTTTGTAAATCCTGTGTTTCCAGCTAGTCTGGGTTCGGTCCTTGGGTGCAGACAGGTACTGAAGACAGTGACTGTACAGACCCCAGGCTGCATTGTCAACTCCAGCCTGCTGCCCGCCCTGGGGGTCAATGCTGCTGAGTGGCCCAGCTGAGACCCAGACCCAGGACGAGGGCAAAGTGTTCATCACCCCTACTGACTCACAACATTTCCTAAGCACTATAAACGTGACGGGAAGATACACTGTTTTTGAGAGTTTGAAGAAAGGCATCCCCCCCCCGCCACATGTGCTTCTCTTGCAGATCCTGAGGAAACTCAAGGGTCTTGCCCTGGACACCGAGGCAGAGCTGGAGAGGCAGGACGAGGCCCTGGATGACATCACCGCCGCCGTGGACCGGACCACCCTAACCATCGACAAGCACAATCGGAGGGCAAAGAAACTGACTTAGAGGGACAAGAAAGCATGACAGTCACTTCCCTGAGTGCTTTGTTCTCAACACCTGCACGCTTCCTTGACCAGAAAGCCCGGGAAGTTGGGTCCAGGGCTAGGCGGTACCTGGAGGCCTTGCTCTGGGAGGTGCAGGCCTGCCTGGGCTGTAGGGGCCTGGCTCCCTGTGTACTGTGATGCTGACCATGGCCCCCAGGGGGGAGGAGAAGCTCCAGGAGGCCTGCACCCCCATGGTGGCCCCAGCTCCTCTTGCTCCCACCTGTCCTGGGCCCTGATTCCCTGCTCCCTACCCTTACTCCCCTCACTCCTCCCCCCCACTCTCCCCCTTCTCCCCCCTCTCCTCCCCCCACTGCCCCCTGCTCCCCCCCACCCCACTCCCTGCCCTCCCTCCCCATTCCTCCTCCCTGCAGGGCTCCCCCCTACCCACTCCCCCCTCCTTGCAGGCCACTCCCCTTTCATACTTGAGCCCCTTGGAGCCTGAACAGCAGCTGGAAGCTGACCCCAGTGCTCAAGGCTGCTTTGCATGGCCAGCAGCACAGCTAGCGGAGTCTTCATTGTTTCTCTGTCCTTGCTTGGTGCAAAAGGGCAATTTAAGTCTCTGGTAAAGAAGTCTGCTGATTTTTGACTCTGCCCCCCTAACTCTGTGTGCTATGTGAGCAGAGCCCCTTCTGCAGGACCACATTCAGGCCCGAGACCCCCCCTTCTCTGGGCCACTGTGCGTGGGCCCCAGTGCCCTCAGTCTGTCCTTCTCTAGGGACAGGCCAGTTCCTTCCTGGTTGTGCTGTGATTTTCTACCCGAAGTCTAGTACATCTGGAGGTCATCCTATAAACACCTGAAATGTTCTTCCCCTGCCCAGTTTTTAGCCAAGTGTGAAAATAATACATATTGCACCTATTTTAAAAAGTGTCGATTTTTTTCTTTAGATGCCCCATTTCTGCCCAGAAATAGAAGAGATACCGTAGTTTTAGAATGTATTTTGAAGATACATGTTGATGCTGCTTTCTGCTTGGGATCCCAGTGGGAGGGCCCCTCAGGAAAGGATGGGGGCAGAGTGCGGAAGTGGGTGAGCCCTTCTCTCACAGGCCGGGCCACCTGCAGACTGCTTTGGAATAGGCTCTCCTGTGGCTGTCCTCTGGCTGTGCAGGTATAGTGCTAATTTTCTGGGGCTGCTAATGAAGTACAAGTGGGGGCCTAGGACAGCAGGCTTTGTTCTCTCCCAGGTCTGGAGGCCAGGAGACTGAGGTCAAGGTGTCACAGGGCCATGCTTCCTCTGAAGGCTCCAGGAGGATCTCTCCTGCCTCTCCTGACTGCCAGAGCCTCAGGAGTTCTGGGCTCATGGCCGTGTCTCCCCAGTCTCTGCCTCCATCACCAAATGGCTGACTGAAATTCCCCCTTCCTTGTCTCATAAGGACACCTGTCACTGACTCAGGGCCCGCCCTGATCCAGGGCTAGCTTTTGCATAATGTGGCCATTTCTGCTAATGTCGCATTCCAGTTCAGTGTGGATGTGAATTTGGGGTCACCTAGGAGTGCGCAAATTTCTGGAAGCTGGCTTGTTCAAGAAGACACAGGAAGTAGCACGTCTAGAAAATAACCTTCATGGGTATTTTCTGGTTCTTGTTACTTTGGTGAGATATAGTCCTCATCTCTGTCTACTTTATTTGGCCTGTCCCTACCAACCTCCAGAATGACAAGTGGGCCTGGGCTTTCAGGGCCCCCAGTCTGATGCTGGCGTGTGAGCGAGTGCCCCAGCACTTTTCTGGCACCGTGAGATTGGAGCTCTCAGCCCCAGAAGCTCCTTCTTCTCAGGCTCAGTGCTGGGGAGGACAGGGAGGGCACAGCAGATGTGTACGTCAACAGGACAGTTATTGAGAGCTTCTGCTGTGCCCAGATGCAGTGGCCGGATCGTGTCCTGTGGAGCTTGGAGTGAGGCGGGAGGACGCAGTTCGTGCCCTGGGCCCTGGGCACGTGCAGGTAGGCAGGCTGCCCTAACTCCAGAAGCTGCAGTTCCTGCAACAGCCCATGAGGAACGAGGTTCCTAGAGGTGGAACCTGTGGTTCTCTGTGACAGCTGAACTCTAGACTCACACCAGGGACTCAGAGTGCACACACGTGTGCATACACACATGGACTTGCATGTGCACACACACACACATGCTGACCCCAGGCTCCTCAAAACTCCGTGGGTATCTGTGCATCTCACATCAGCAGTCAGAGGAAGAGCCACAGGCCAGGTGACTTCTGCCATCAAGAGCCCTGAAGTCGGAAGGAAAGCAAACCTGTCCCACCCTTGGCCTGCTAGGGCAGTCCTGCCAGCATCCGCTCATGCTGGAGATAGCCACTGCCCTTCATCTCCTGGCGGCTGGGCTGCACAGACTTCTGCAACTGACAGTACTCAAAGCAGGGCCAGGACTCCCGGTGAGTTCTCCAGAGCTAGCCTCTCCTTTTCCAGCACCTGGGGATGCTTGAGACCCCAAGCACCAGCAAGGTATGTGGCACTGAAGACACTGGAGCGTTAGGGCATTATCTCTGGGCCATTGTCTCCCGTGAATACATAAATTGATGGAGACAACAGTTCTCTGCAGAATTAGACTGTTAAAAAAAAAAAAGGTACATCAGGATCATTTTATGCTACTTATTAACCTTGACTCCAGAGTTAACTTTTTCATCTTACACACTTCCACTAGCAAAACTCCATTGCCAAATCAGGCTGGAACCTAAGCACAGACACCTACCTGTTTAACCACTGGACTCCAAGGCACAGGCCAACCCTAACTATGAAGGGTAACCTAAAAGGCCAGCCCTTTTCAAAAATCCCTATGAAACCAGGCAGTAATTCCAACACCAGTTACTCCTAATCCCAGGTGCTCTAACTCCACCCCCACTGCTCCCACCCCGGGTGCCCTGACTCTTCTCCCCACCTCTCCCCTCCCCTGGTGCCCTGACTCCACCCCCACAGCTCCCCTCCCCAGGTGCCCTGACTCTACTCCCCACCTCTCCCCTCCCCTGGTGCCCTGACTCCACCCCCACAGCTCCCCTCCCCAGGTGCCCTGACTCTACTCCCCACCTCTCCCCTCCCCTGGTGCCCT